AAAAAATGAGGAATTTCAAATAGTTAATTTGATACTAATATCGATATATTTTTGTCAAATTTTTATGATATCGTCAAACATATATTTTATTCAAAAATAAAAACATCATCGCTTTCTCAAAAATTAAAAACACGATGTATCTCGATGCATTGCACGAGTACTCTTCTAGTGATATATAAGGGTCGTCTCCTGCTTTTTGTTTGTTCACAATGGGTCTTTGTTTTTATTTCAATCGGGACATTGGTTTCAATTTGGAACAACACGCATTGTGGGTGTTCATAATAACATTTCCTTAACTGTTTTTTATAATCTAAAATAAATATAAAAAAAATTAATAAATATCTTTTATGTATAAAGTACTGCTTATTTATATATATTACTTAAAATTTAAGATTACAAGTAATTGTTCATAAGTACAACTTATTAAAGTTTCATGTTTAAATTTTTATAACTAACAATTATAAACATAATAAAACAAGATAAACATCTTGTTTTAAATATAAAAACCCAAAATATATATTTCGGATAATCATTGAGTTCTCTTAATTATTATCTTTATAAAAAAGTATATTATTGAATCGAAAAATAAATTATTTCGTTATTAAACCTAAATTAAGTTATAATAAAGAAATTATACAAAAAAAACTAGAACTTATAAATGGTTAATTTTATATTAATATCGATATATTTTTTTTCAAATTTTCATTATATCTTCAAATTTAAAAATAAAAATATTATCGGTTTCTCAAAACCATATAAATTGTATTATAACATCGACATAGATTAAAAAATAAAACGAAATATTAAAATCGAGATGTATCTCATTGTATTGTGTGAGTATCCTTCTGGTCTTTTTAAAATTAAAAAACAAAAGTTATATATGGATATTAATTATATATGATATCAACAATTCTTTTCTTGAAATATCTGGATATTAATTATATATTGTTAGAAATTTAATATATTTAAAAACATCTTCAATATGTTTTTTAAAATTGATAAAGCAAAATCTTCAAAATATTACATTCAACTCAATTTTTCTATGTTTATAGATCATGAAAGTAATAATATTATTAAAATACTTGATACATTTAATTAAATATTATTTATATAAAGAATTTTTATTGGTGAAAAGTGTCGCAAATAACGAAAATCATACAAGGAGTTTTCCAAATCGTAGAATTTGTGAATATCTTTCCTACTTTCTCCATTTAAAAAAATATATGAAAACAAAAAAATTAGCATCAAACACAACCCCTCCCCTTAAAAAAAAATCTTATTAATGTTTATTAAGAGAATAATAATTTATTAATGGAAACAAATAATTATAATAAGTTTTGAAGATATTTCCAACTTTGAAGATTTTTAGAGAATATTCTAAATATGCCCCTACATTTAATTATATATATACTTACTATAAGTAATAATGGTTTTTGTTAATTTATAATTTTTATCTTGCTAATTTGGAGTATTTGTAATTTTTACTTGTAATGTTTGTGTGGAATTATGGTTTGGTGGGTGGAAAGTGTGGAGAAGGGGTGTTTTTGCAGCAAAATAAACATTTAAGAATCTTTTGCAAAATGTTATAAACTTCAGGGTCTTGGTTTTAAAATACTATAAAAATCTTTGAAGCTACCAGATATTGCCAGGTGGAAACTTAAAATGATCTGAGCCAATCAAAACACAACGTCATATCCTGTAGTTTTATCAATATATTTTAGTAATATTAAGCAAACCACTACAATGACTAAAATTACCATTTTTATAAGTTTTTCTTTTTTAATATTTTGTATAAAGTATTTATTTTATATTAGTTCATCAAATTTAGATATTTTGATCAAGAAAAGGACATTCAAATTTTTGATGATAAATGGAAGACCTAAAACCAAAGAATTACGATTATACATACACATACACATACACATACACATACATAGGTGAACCAACGTGTGAGAAATAGAGTTAAAGTGAGATGCATAATAAAGTATCTAGACCATTGATCACCTTTAATCTCAAACTCACTCATAAATCGTGTTGATATTGGGATTAATCTAGTACATCTAATCATAATGTGTATCTAAGGATGATAATATATTCTTACACTTCTCATCTTAACTCACATTCTCACCATAACCCAACCACACACACACACACACACACACATATATATATATATATATATATAAGGGAGGGTTTAGACGAACCCCTATTTTACGAAGATACGAGAACACTTGTGAACTTTCAAATTATTTAATCCATAACAAAAATTAGAATAAATAAAGATAAATTAGTATTTATCAACAATTTCCTATTATTTTGAATTTGTCTTTCCCATTTAAATGTTGATAATAATAGTATCATCAAAGACTTCTTATGTTGTGTCTCCCTTGTCGATAATAGAATGGTAATATTGTGACAATGATCTCATTTTGCTGTGATAACTCTTTGATAAACTGAAGACTTCTTCTATGATGTGATTTTGTTGTGATAATGATCTGACAATTATGTAGTTTTGCTATGATAATGTTGTGATAATCAAAAACCAGTGATAATCACGTCCACAATCGTAGCTCTGTATGTTAGTTATGTGATTTTGCTATATTAATGTTTTGATATATTGTGATCGGTGAGTATATTGTTTGTGCATGCTTTTACGGGTAATAAAGTCACCAAGATTACAGATTAATACGAAATCACATTATTATCCTTAATTATTTTACTTTATTTTCTTTTAAATTTAATTATTAGTTAAATAATTTGGAAGCTCGAAAATGTTCTCGTATTTTTCGTAAAACAATGATGTTCTCGTTTGAATCCTTGCCCGCCCACACACATATAATGACCTTCTATTTGAGAACCTATGAAATTATGATAACCTTGAGAACTAGTGCATCATGTGCTATTTCATATGATTTTTTTCCATCTAAAACTAAAAATTAGAATATTGATTAACATATATTAGTTTCACAATGTGAAATTTTTTAGTCTGTTTGTAAAACAAAACTTACACGTGAAAATGTTTCACGTTGTGAACCGAATACATATAAAACAAATATATGTTCATCGATATATTAAATGCAAGCTTTAGATGAGAAAAAATTATGTGAAACAATACTTTAAGGTAAAGTTCTCACGATTATCACAATATGTGAAGTTTTTAAATGATTAAGCTCATATATATACAACAAATTTGTGATTTTTGTTTATATACATAAATGGACTAAAAAGATCCTCCATTTTAATAAGCGCAAA